CGCCGCCTCCCCCTGGGACCCCACTCCAACCGGACCACCCCGCCTGAGTCAGCCCCTCAGAACGGTCCGTCCCCCATGGCCGCCCTCATGTCGGTGGCAGACACTCTGGGCACTGCGCACTCGCCCAAGGATGGCAGTTCCGTCCACTCCACCACGGCGTCTGCCAGGCGCAACAGCAGCAGCCCAGTGTCGCCGGCCTCTGTGCCTGGGCAGCGCCGCTTGGCCTCACGGAACGGGGACCTGAATTTGCAGGTGGCGCCCCCGCCGCCTAGCACCCACCCGGGCATGGACCAAGTGCACCCCCAAAACATTCCGGATTCCCCTATGGCCAACAGCGGGCCCCTCTGCTGTACTATTTGCCACGAACGTTTGGAGGACACGCATTTCGTTCAGTGCCCATCCGTCCCCAGCCACAAATTCTGCTTCCCTTGCTCAAGAGAGAGTATCAAGGCCCAGGGAGCCACCGGCGAGGTGTACTGCCCCAGTGGAGAGAAATGCCCCCTAGTTGGGTCGAATGTACCTTGGGCCTTCATGCAGGGCGAAATCGCAACGATCTTAGCTGGGGATGTTAAAGTGAAAAAGGAGAGAGACCCTTGAACCACAAGACGGCCACCTCCTTTGACCTAGACCAGCTCCTCTCCAATCCAGAGGGCCCCTCCCCTCTCCACATCTGCCCTCCCTTCCCTCACCCCCAAGATGTAGAATTGTGAATATAACAAAACTGCAAAAAGTTAGTCTTATGTATAGACATTATTTTCGTCGTATGTTTCTATATTTTGAAACTAAGGTATGTAACTTCTTCATTTGAAGGATAAGCCGGTTTGTGTTAAGCAGTATAATATTGGTTGGGTCATTTGCATCATATTTGTTAGCATTTATTTGGTGGCAGGGTGTTTGCCTAGGTACAGAATTAATAGCCCTTAGCAACACTGCTGCTGGTGTGTATTTTTGTAAATGTTATGCACTCTCTAAAAGGAAAAAACACAAAAGAAAATGACTTTTTTTTTTTTTTTTCCAAGGCCGGTGTTGCTTCCTAAAAAAAAAAAAAAAAAGCTTTTTTTTTTTTTTTGCCAAGGCCAGGGTTGCTGCCTAAAAAAAAAAAAAAAAAGCTTTTTTTTTTTTTTTGCCAAGGCCAGTGTTGCTGCCTAAAAAAAAAAAAAAGATGCTATAAAATGGTGACAGCTTCTTTCTAAACAGCCCCAAGTGTTGGAGTCTTCACTTTAAGTTGTTCTGTTTTGTTTTTGTTTTTCTGTTTTGTTTGCAAAAAAATGGTAAAGGGGATGTTGGGGGAGCGGGGTGTTTTTTGTTGCAAGTTTGTGAGGGAAAATGTTTGGGTTTGTTTCTACTGACCTGAATGTGTTGGATCTTCACGTGTTGTTTTGTTTTTGCTTTATTGATGCACGGATGCTTTTGAACAGTAGAGCGAAATGCTAGACATGGAGAATTTGCTCTGTTTGTCCTTTATACATTTCTGTAGTTAACAGAACACTGTAATGTGCCTTGGAGCTTAGTAACTTGTAATAAATTCAATTGATATTAATTCTGCCCTGCGTCAGCAAGTGTGTTTTTCTAGGGGTAGGCCACACAGTTCCAACATAGGGGACACTCCCCACCTCCAGCTAGAACACAAATGCTGGTGCCTTTGAAAGCTCTCCCGAGCTGGCATCTGTAAAAGGCCCTGTGCTGGCTGACTGCCCCTCCCCTCTCAGTACCAGGCTATTTACATTCACCTCCGGGGCAGGGACAGTTGCTGACTAAGCAGTTTCTGTTTACTCTTCAGCATTTCTATTTTCTCCTGGATGCACCCTGCCTCAGCTGCAGATGGCAGTTAGGAATGCTTTTTGGTGCCTTGCCTTGTGGCCATGAGGATATACTGATACCCAAATGCCCTATGACTTGGGTAAAGTGTAGGGGGGGGGGGGCGGTGGGGGGTGGAGGGGAGCATCTACGGTGCTTTGCCTCTTAGATGTGGCAGAAATCACTGTATTTGCACATTTAAAGCAAAAATGCCACCGAACTAAGAGCCATCAATGGAGGCAGGAGAGGTGTGGGCAACTGGAAACAAATGCATGTACTACTAAGCCAGGAGCTTCCAGCTGATGCATTGGAAAAGCAGTTTCAGCTCATTCATTACACGTTTTTCTTCCCTCCCTTTTTGACAAGTATTTCTAAAGACAGGACACTTAGCTGGTTAGAAGAAAGTTGCGGGGTGAGAGGAAGAGAAAAAACACCCCAAACCCAGTTCCTGAGTAAAGGTCACTTACGCTATCAAATAAAACCCATTTCCCTGGGGAAGACATGCAATTATTCATCTAATCAGCTTTTTGGTGGCATTTGTGAGGTATAGAGGGGTGGGGAAGGGGACTAGGGAACAGGAATGTCCTTTAGAGCTTTGAGCCCCCTTGGCAGCGTCCAGACTGGAGCCCTCCCAGAGCTGGGGAAGGCAAACAACCCTGGTGTGAACCTTGTACTTCCCTGGGAGGCAAATGGAACAAGAGTAGAGAACAGGAGGGAGGAAGCAAAACAACCAGCGATCTGATCTGAAATCCATTCCTGGCCACACCCCATTCTTGGCTGGGGCAAGCTGAGCCAGGACAGTTCCCACCAAGAAATGAGCAATAAGGGAAGACTTTTGGCGTGCCCCCTCCCAACAACGAGGGAGCAAGAGGGTAGGGAGGTGGTATGGGTGCGGGCAGGTTTGGGGAAAAACAAATCACGGGTTAGCCCAGAACATCACCGGTGTGGAGGTGTGGAGGTTGGGTTGGTGTTGGGGCTTGCTGTTAATAACACCCTTTTAGTTTCTGTTCCTGCCTTGCCACCACCATCATTGAAGTAGTGGAAACCATGACTGTGTGTATGTGTGTGTGTGTGTGTGTGTGTGTGTGTGTGTGTGTGTGTGTGTAAATGGCAGTTGATGGATCTGCTGCAGCCTCTTAGTCTTGGTGCATGGGAGGCGCCTGGCTCACCTCTTTAAGAATCTCCCCACATATAAATAGATATTCGTGTCAGCTTACTGCAAATGTGTCCTTGCATTTTCATCTGCTGCCAAGTGTTGTATTGGTGCTTATGAGTCATGAAACCTATTTTCATCCTCAGGGGTAATTAACTTGGGGTGATAATGCATAGCAGACTGTAGGAAGAGTTAATTCTAAAAACCCATCCTTGCCTGGCTACCAATCACACATTTCACTTAAAGGTCTGGGTTGGCTTTTCTCCTAAGCTCATTAATAAAAACCAAGCATGCTTCGCCTGGAAGATCCTCTGAGGTGCTCCCAACCCCCACTCTCAAGGCACACACTCTTAAAATGGGTAAAGCTCAGCAGCCTGAGAATAAAGATTGAGTGTCACGGGCGTAAGTGAACCACCGTTGAATGAAGGAGTGGTGGGTGCGGCCACAGCATTGAACTATACTTGGTGTGTGGATTACCTGTCTGGGCGTGGACCCTGTGAGCGCTGCCTAGTGACTCCAAGTGGGAGTGAACCCTGCTATCTGCCCCTGTGTGCACATCTGCGCCGGCTGGCCTGCCACTGTCTCTTCATTGCTATAGTATTACCTTCCGGAACTTTCAGGATTACAAGACCTTTGATTTAGTGCACAGAGGTGGGAAAGGGGCCTGTCATTAGAGCTGAGAACAGTGTAGCTTGTCCTCTCTGCCCCCCACTCCGGTCCTGTTTCTGGGCACATTATGAGCAGGAGAGGCAGTAGCTATAATAATGAGGCACCGGGCAAAGGCAGCCTGTGGGTTTCACTAAGGAAGCCTGCCTTGATGAGACCTGGGGGAGAGGAGGAAGGGAGTGGGAGGGAGAAAGTGGGTTGGGGTGGGACTCCGACTGGAAGTGAATTATAATGGTGCAGTTAATTAAAGTTTACCATAGCCAGGGGCCATTTGTTAAATGGCTTCACTCCCTTCTCCTTTTTTGGAACCATGTGACCTTTCTCTTTGCTCTGACCAATTCAGCTGCTAGTCTGGCGGCAGGAACCAGTCTTGCTTTGATCCCTCAGCTAGATTGCTCCTCCTCTGAAACCTTCCATACTGCAGACCTAGGAAGCATTTCCCTCCCCTGTACCTGGGGATTCTTGAGGGTTTCAGAGATTCAGACGGAGGTCTCTGGGTGAGCCTGGGCTTCCTTCATCTCCAGTTCACTCTGATCTCCCACCTCCTCCATTGTCCATCCTTCTAACTCCCCCATGAGAGCCATAGTGGCCAGCACTTAAAAATCCATATTGTATTTATTTATATGCGTTGTCTGAACAGCTGACCCAAGCTGGATGTGTCTTTAGGGCGGCGGGGACAGCGGTGCGAGCCAGGGAGAGAGTGAAGAAGGTTTTAAGAGAATAGGTTGATTGGGATCATTCTATTTACCTTGATCTCTGAAGGCTGCACCATAGGAGAACCAAAATGTCAAGTTGGGCATTCACATGTCAACCTGCTCAGCTCACGTGGGCCTGCAAGCCTACGTTATTAAACGTAAGATCCGAGTACATCTAGCCCAGGCTGTTGTGTAACGCGTACCGGAATTCACTTTGTTTTCTCTCATACTTGATCAAATTAAGGACACTGGAACTGGGAATGGGTCATCAGGTCATCTCGTGAAATGCTTTCTAGACCTTTCTGAGGTTAGGGACACCTTAGAAAAACCTGATAAAAATGATGGATTCTTTCCTAGAACCTACAGGTACGCCTACTCAAGTGGATTTGCATACATTTTCTTTTCTTCTTAATATAAATGTTATGTATTTATTTTTGAATAGATAATACATTCCTTTGGTTCAAAATTCAAAAGATGTAAGGGGGAATACAGTACCACTGTAAGGTCTCCTTTCTACAATTGGCTCCCCTGACATTCAGTGTCCTTCTGGGATATACGCAGTGTTCCCTGATTTATAAGGGGGTTTATGCACATCTAAAGCCCATCCATAGAACTTGAGATTAGACAGGGGTGGGCAAACTTTTTGACTCGAGGGCCACAATGGGTTCTTAAACTGGACCTGAGGGCCGGAACAAAAGCATGGATGGAGTGTTTGTGTGAACTAATATAAATTCAAAGTAAACATCATTACATAAAAGGGTACGGTCTTTTTTTTTTTTTAGTTTTATTCATTTCAAACGTAGTTTGCCCACGGCTGGATTAGAACTTAAGTCTCCTCCATCCACCTTATAGAGATGAGGGCCAGAGAGGTGAAATAACTTGCCTAAGGCACAGAGAGGTGAAATAACTTGCCTAAGGTCACACAGAAGCAGAGCCTGGGCTGGATCCCTATTAGGGAACAGTTCAAATAGACATTTTTAAAAAACATAAGCACATGCAGCTTAACTAAAGCTGTATTTGAGAAAGGGTGATGATGAGATGGGCCAAAGGAGAATGAGCACCTGGTGGTGTGGGGATCAGTATTTTTACTAAAAAGCATTTGTTCTTTGGGCTCTTGCAGCCAGACCTTTTAGGGAAGGGAATGTTTAGAGAAGTTTCTAGGTTTCTGACTGTAAATATCAGGTGGGCCTCAACTAGTGGAGTCTTTTTTCAACCGTTGAGCTGCGGACCTTCATACCACCTTTCCCTTTGCTGATTGGAAACTTCTGAAGGTTTAAAGACAGCCAGGTAAGCAGCCATCTGGGCATGGAGGTAAGTAGGGAGAGAGGAGTATGGACCAGGACTCCTCCTGCCTTCCCTTGAGCCGTCACCCACCTCTGCCTGGCACTCTCTCCCCACCGCTGAAGAGGGCACTGAAGGGGGAAGTGAAGGAGACAAGCAGCCTGCCAGGTGCTGTGTGATGTGCTGGGGAGAAGCACATTATGCCGGCCAAGCTCTAGTCCAGCCTATGAAGAGGGTGTGATGACTTCCATTTTATGGATGTGCCAACTGAGCTCAGAGAGGTTAAATACCCAAGGCTATTCTTGATATGCAAGTCAGGCCCAGGCAGCCTGAAGCCTGGACTCTCCTATGCTGCTCTCTGTCCAGGGCCTCTGACTTCTGA